CTAACATATACACACACATACACACATACTTGTACACACACATATACACACTCACAATACACATGTAAACACTCATACATACATGCACACACAATTCACATGTACACACATGCATACATAAACATGCAGTATACACATAAGCCCATATACACACTCATGTATACACACAGGCACACTCACACACATATACATGCACACCTACAGTCATACATACAAACATATGCATACACACAAACGGTTTACAAAAGCTGAACGACGTCTTAAAGATCAGCCAGTCCATGCCCTTGTCATTTTGTTGTTAAGTGCTGTTGAGTCAGTTCTGACTTGAGAGACACTACAACATAGGGTTTCCAAGGAGCAACTGGTGGGTAGCAGTCCAGTGCTGATCCTCCAGCCCTTGTCATTGGTGGTGGTGTACCATCGAGTTGGTTCCGACTCAGCAAGGCTGTATAGGGTTTCTAAGGAGCCGCTGGTGAGTTTGAACCGCCGACCTTGCAGTTAGCAGTCCATTGCTGATCCTACAGCATGACACACCAGGACATTAGTCCTAGTGAAAAGAAATTGAGATGGCAGAAAGAAGGGGGCTTGAATGGAACCATGGGGCAAGTTAATGAATGGCAAAGCTTAGCTATTTGTTTCTCACCGTACTAGAGAATCTGAGGAGGTTTGGGTGGTGTTCGGGTCTTATTTAGTCTTACTTTAACACAACACCTTTTCCATGATTGGAGAGCTGTATGTGTAGCTGGTGAGTTTGAACTGCTGACCTTTGAGGTTTGTAGTCCAGTCCTTATCCTACAGTGCCACACCAGGACTCCCTAAATGATTATATATCAATAACATATCTTTGTAGAAGAGCATAAGAAAAAGTCCACCACTGTACAGTAGACTCCCATCAACACTCAGGAAATCAAATGACGTATTGCATTGGGCAAATCTGCTGTACAAGACCTCCTTAAAGTGTTCAAGAGCAAAGATGTCAGTTTGAGGACTAAGTTGTGCCTGACCCAAGCCATGGTATTTTCAATAGCCTCATAGACATGTGAAAGTTGGACAGTGAATAAGGAAGACCTTAGAAGAACTGGTACTTTTGAGTTATGATGTAGGATGAGAACATTAAAAGTACCATGGACTGCCAGAAGAACAAATCAATCTGTGTTGGAAGAAGTACAACCAGAATGCTCCTTATAAGCCAGGATGTGGAGACCTTCTCTTTCATACTTTGGACATATTGTGTATCAGGAAGGACCGGTACCTGAAGAAGGGCATCATGCTCGATAAAGTGGAGGGTCAGTGAAAAGACGAAGACCCCCAATGAGCTGGACTGGCACAGTGGATGCAGCACTGGGCTCAAGTGTAACAACAATTGTGAGATTGGAGCAGGACTGGGCAATGCTTCATTCTGTCGAGCATAAGGTCACTATGAGTCATACAAACACAAAGGCACCTAACAACATAGCTCTTAAGTCGGGCCTTTGAAATGTCTCTACCTCTTGGGGTCAGTCTTGTGCTGATCTTCCTGAGATTACTGTTGTACCTGCTTTGTCGATACTTTGCCCCATGGTGCTATTCAGGTACCCTTTGTTATGGGCACTCGATTTTTTTTCACTAGAACTGATAAGGGCTTGGATTGGCTGGTCTTCAAGATGTCACTCAGCTTTGGCTAAATAAAAAAAAAAAAAGGAACAGATCAAGATGTCCACGTTGAGTCAGTGCTGAGCACTGAAGGATAAAGGTACCAGCGTACCCTACATGTAATGGTCTCGGTGAGAGGACAGAGGTTCCGTTGACCTTAGCTGTGTTCAGAGGACAGGGGAAGAAGCAATGGCAAACAGTAGAATCTGACAACGGGGACAGCACATGGCACGAAAGAAGTCATCTAAAAACACCCAACGTTTCTGTGTAGTGAGACCACCACAGAATTCCAAAGTAAACATGGGTACACTTTTCTCCAAAGTGTAAAGTTGGACATTATGTGCAGGGATGGGTAGGGTGGGGGACTGCAAAAAGAAAAAGTTCACGGAAACATTCCATTATCTTTCCATTCCATTTTTCACAATCTTTTTGAAGCACCTCATCTTAATCCCTCATCCAAGCAGGACTTGAACTCTAACTGGGTACTGGGCACTGCAGTGGGCTCTGGAACACGTAAGGTGTGCACCAGCAGACACAGCTTGTTACTAATGATTGCTTTTCAGGAAGTCTCTCACCCAGGAGGGGAGTTTGGCTCTCCAGCGTCCTCTGGGGACCAACGGCCTCTGCATGAGGCCTGACTCCCGTGTCAGTCTAGCCAACAACCAAGCTGCATGCAGTCCAGACGACTCAAGTTGTGCTTCGTATTTCATTTTGTCTTTGAGAACTTCTTTTCTTTTTAATTACGTAAAATAAGCAAGCTTTTTGCTTTAAAATCATCTTTCCTTATATACTTTCACATAACGGTATGGCTCAACGATCCACACCTTTGAAGTTCCTTAATCATTCTACTATGGTGTTAGTGAAGAATAAACCATGGACTACCAGACGAACGAACAAATCTGTCCTGGAAGAAAATCAGTCAGAATGCTTCTTAGAGCCAGGATGGTGAAACTTTGGACCTGTCACTGGGAGGGACCAGTTCCTGGAGAAGAATATTATGCATGGCCAAGAAGAGGGTCAGTGAGAAAGAGGAAGACGCTTTGCAAGATGGACTGACAGCTGATGATGTGCCCTGTAAACTTTCACTCAATGCAAAATAAAAACATTTAATTAAAAAAAAAGATGGACTGACACAGTGGCAGCGACAGAGAGGACGGTCCAGGACTGGGCAGTGTTTGCTGAGTTGGAACTGACTCAACAGGACCTAAAACCACCACCATGCTTCCTAAGATGACCAAATACTGGTTTCTCCTGACATCTGTAAATTCAAGTCAATTAACCCAAGACCTTCGGGACTTGTTCTAGTTCCTTGTTCCAAACCCAACGAGAAGTTAGATGAACTCTGAGTGGTTTATTCTCAAGTCATTACCGTGTTCAACCAGTTGGACACAGAAAGACCACAGACGTAAGGACAAACCCTGGGAGGACCCGCAGGACCCCGTCCTGGAAGACAAGTTTCATACAGAGAAAAAGGCAGTCCACCGTAATAAGGTAACCCAAGCCATTGTTTGGACAATTCAGATGTGACATTATTTACAAGCTGGTGTAAGTTTTAAAATAATGAAATAATGATTGTCACCGAGTTAGAACTGTATTAAGATCCGTATTAGGAGGCTCTGAGAACCACCACAACAGTTCCCTATGCTGTTGGAGATACGGGCAGTTCTAGGAAAGGTCCCCAAAGAGCTCATCTGTTGCTGCTGGGAAGTATATGACATTAAAAACACCTAAAGATCCTAAAATGAACATGCAACGGGAAGGCAGTACCACAGACAATGGTTCTGCCCCTGACTGGTACAAAGTGACTACGGAGCATTTCTTACGACATCTTTGTGGAAAGAGGACTTCCAAAAGAGCCCTTGTTACAGATGGATTCGCAAAATTGGTAACTACTTAGATTCCTTAGATTCTAATTGTTTCAGATAATAACTGCAGGAGAGGAAAATTCTAACTACAACTTCAAGAAATATTAGCTTATGAATAAAAAAAGTTGGGTGGTGCATTCTGTACGTGATTTCTGGCACTGACAGATATTAAACCTCTGGACTCCAGCACTGTAGGAAGGGGAAATGTCTCTCTCTCCCCAACAAGAAGTTGACCTAGAAAATGAAATGGAGAAGCGGTGATAAGTACGAATTAAAAAACAAAACTGTGAAATGGCAAAAAAAAAACAAACTAGAAATCGCAGCATGTCAAATTCAAGACTGTCTTCTCAACGCCGATGGTGAAGCCAGAGCTGCAAACACGGTGCTTGCTCAAACGGATCTGTTATTCAGCCCCCAAATCAACAACTCTTTCAGGAGGCACTGACAGTTACCACAGCCCACAAAGAGATTAAGATTTGAGGACATTAGTTTCTTTCAAACATACTTATTGCACAGGCAGCAGAATGCCAGCATCCGATGTCCTACTGTAAAATGCTTTCCTCCTGAATGCATGAAACCACACTACTGAACTAATAAAATTATCCCAGTGTTTACAACCAACCACGTATGACTTCTGAGCACAACAATCTTACAACATCCCTAAACAAAATGAAAAAACACAGGCACTTGGATCAAGGTTTTGGACAAAACTCGGAGGGCACAGTGCAGGGTAAAGGCTTTACATATAAACCGTCTTTACATATTAACTCGAGGCCTTTCTCTGATCCAAATATAGAAACCAGAGCTAGTTACAGAAAAATCACATCTCCCTAAAATTTCACACCAAATCACAGTTTTCATTGAAGAAAGCTCTGACTTTTACAAATCCTGATGAAGTGTTTTCAAATCAACAATACAAGCCACACACCAGTCCACCTTTTTTGTTGTTTTGTTCAATGTTGTTAACTCGGTTCGACTCACAGTGACCCTGTATAGGGTTTCCAAGGAGCAGCTGGTGAGTCTGAGCCGCTGACCTTGTGGTCCAGTGCTTTATCCCACAGTGCCACCCCGGGACTTCTACCAGTCCCCTACCAGAGTCCAATTACATTCTCTATGCAAAGCTGACCACTCACCTGGAGATCCCTGGCATCAAAAATGGTTACATTCTGCACTGCAGTCTAATACATTTCACAGTACCAGTGACATCGTAAGTTTGGATATCCTAGTCTGATATTATTCCATTCAACATTATTCATCAACCTAACAGTGTGGAAATACCACACATTTAGAAGAAGGTCATAGTAGCATTTTTAAAAGGACCAAATGTTTAATAAGCATTTTTAATGTTTCATGTTGTTAACCATTTACATTGTCCAGTTCACTAAGAAAGGAAAATCTCACACGCACATTTTTATCACCCACAAGGGAACCCACAGCTGTTCAGACAGCTGGGAATGAGTCACTATGGTTTTTTTGCTTTTGCGTAGAACGAAGCGCACTGCATTTGGCCACTCCCTAAGAGTCTTGATTGATCAACTTAGATAGAGAGCATTTAAGAGGCAGTATAACATGTGCATTAAAAACCATTTCACCCTTTAGCATCTTTGGCGAGAAGCCTCCATAGAGGGAACGAAGGGACGGATGAGGCAGGCAGGCGCCACGATTCCATCTTCACACGTCGCTGACTGGGAGGCTTGCATCATCCAAGTCCACGGGGCCGCCATCTTTTTCCTGAGGACCGTTTTTACTGGGAGGGTTCAACAGAGCATGCTCAGTCACTTTGGAAGCTGGTTCTCTTGGAGAGACAGTCTGCATCTTGAAGTTCCCTGGCTTGACCTTGGCAAGAGACTCGTAAATTCCTCGTTTCTCCACGGCAAAGCTTGAGACCAGAGAGCTGCTGCGAGTGGCCGTGGAATGTGAGGGGGCTGCGGAGGAGGCACGGGGGGGCCGGAGAGCATGTGTGGACTCTGCAGGGCAGGTGGAATGCTCCTGCAAAGAGGAGTGGGGGTCAGACAGAGTCAACCATGAATGACAAGGTTAGTAGGTCAGCGCGAGACTTGATTCTCTGAAAAACAGACACGCAAGACACACAGGCGCACACCAAGCAGAAGCATGAGCGGTGGTGGCATCGACAGGCCGGCTCCTCCCCAAGCAAAGCAGTTTTAGGGGTGAGTTTAAAGCGATGACAGCCAACAACACTTCCACAAGGAAACCAGTTCTGTCACCAGAGCTGAATCTGGCAGCGAATGTCACTCTGAAGACTCAACCCAACCAGTCTACACTGGACTCGTTTCCAATGGCCACTGAACTAAACTGATATTTCATGTAAAGGGTACATTATAAATCAATACTGGGCCTTATCCCACATGCTTTAGAAAAATAAAAATGCAAAATGTCAAAATGATATTTGCTTTGATAAGCAGACAAATGCTGAAGTTCCTGCTTCTCTCAATCGCACTATAACCAATAAAAGCACTTTTTTTTCTTTTACTTTTTATTTGATTTCACTTACTTAGTTTTGAATACATCATATACTCATATGGTTCCAGATTTTAAAGGTAACAAAGCGTACTTAGTTAACAGTCTTGAAAAACGGCAGTAGAGAATTATGAATTTAGAATATCAATTTCAGTATGCTGCTAACTAGATCAAATCTGAAGGTACCCTGAAACAGGGCCATCCCCAATGCACAGTTCCAGCACCCTGTGTTCATTATAATAGAAGGTGCTTTGACTACTACAAATGACCCAAACTGTCAATTCCCATCAGAGGTTAAAGTTCACCTGAGATTTTAAATGCCAATGACAGAAACGCACAGCTGACCCAATGCAGAGGCATGCGTAAGTTCGCGCGTACTGCCAGAGCAAAGGTGCGTTTCAAGTGTTGTGTATGTATATATATATACATACATGTGTGTGTGTATATACACACACATATATAAAAAAACACTTCAAAATACATAAAACATAGAAATCTTAACTGGTAATTCAGTACACGAATTTTGAAAAGATGGTGTGATGACTTCTTCAATTTGAGAAGTTGCATCGTTTTTTCCCCTTTAATACACAGATCCAACATGATGACTGATGCGGAAGGACAGTTAGTGTGGACAAGGTCAGTACGGTAACTGCAAACAGCAGCTGGGTTAACTCAACTTGACAGGACGGGTTGTGAGCAGTGAGTGAGTCCGGCCCTCTAGTAAGAAGGCACGTTTGCCTGAGCGCCCACGTGCGTGCTGCGTTCACTCGTGCTGGATGTGTACCTCTGAATACAAGGGTTCGACAGCCTTCTGGCCTGCCGCACCTGGAACACAGTGCAAAGCTAAGATTAGAGGTTACCTAGACTGGGGAGAGGGAGGAGAAGAGCAAGTTTGCCGATAGTCACAGCTCGGAAGCCCCATTTGCCCCACCACAAAGCACAATACACAAATGCCCTCTTCCAGCGTTTCCTCTTCCCAGCAGACACTGTTTTTAGAGAAAGTCTCATACTTGACTGCTGATAAGGCCACAAGAAACACAGGCAGTTACAAAATTAACACCTAGGAAAGGGACTTCTTAGATACTCTCCTAGAGTATAGGAGTGTGACTGAAACAATTAAGTCAGGAGAAAAATGGATTTCTAGCTACTGATTTCTAAGTATTGTTACCAGGAAATTATATTTATACAACACTGTTGTTGTTAAGTACCATCCAATCGGTTCCAACTCACAGCGACCCTATATAGGGTTTCTAAGAAGTGGTTGGTGGGACTGAACTGCTGACCTTGTGGCGCACAGTCCAGTGCTGATCCTACTGAGCCACATCAGGAGTCCATATACATTATCACGACCAGGAAAAATTTCAGAAGTTCAGCAAATCTAGCTTTATAATAAATTTAGACAATAAAGACATCTTGCTACATGCAGACTATATTCTGCAGACAAAAGTGCTACCTATCCAGGTATGTGTTGCTTGATGCCCAAGGTACGTTCTGTGAAACAGGGTATGATGTGGTTTGGACACTGTGTGAACACCTTAAGAAGACCTTGAGAGAACCAGCTTCTGGTTGTCCTTGTCACTGCTGCTGGTAGAGGCCAGAGGAAGTCCCCCGGCAAGAGCAGAATAAGAGGAAGCAAGTAGGGAGGGAGCAGAGTGCCCACCCTGCCTGCTCTCTGCCCACCTGAGGGGCACCTGATACCTGGCCACCTCATTTATACCCCACCCAGAGGCCAGTCCTCCAGAGTCTGGGTTTGGGGCTTATAAACTATTAAGGGAAAAAATAAACAAAAGAAGAATTGGTTTTCCTTAAAAAACAAAAACAAAACCTTATGGGACCACATGATATAAATGCAGTTAGTTGGATTTGCCTGAATGGACATTCAGAGACACATACTTGGATCTCAAACAACTTAGAAGCTTTCATTCCCCAATAAGAATTCCTGTTTTTGGAGGAGAGACTACTACTGCAAAGCTAAATCTTACTCCTGTGATGTACTCGGACACCATAAAAATAAATAAAAGCAAAACATTTTTCTGACTATTCTGAGAATATTTACTCTGAACTGCAATTCTCCTGGCAGCACAAAGAAACTGGGGCAGTAAAAGGAGGCAGGCTTTTAAACTACCCTACACGGACACAAGACGGAAAACCTGAAACAGAAAATGCTGACTTTGAGCACTAGAAACTATGCATACATCTAGGTGATCACCGGGCTAATGGCGCTAGTCAGCCCCCTCCCCTTTCAAAAAAAAAAAAATCAAAACCCAACCTCACTGAGATGTGTGGACTAAAGAGGGGACGGGATGTTCACAAACACGTGCAATGCTGTGAGGAAAGGTGGCCAACATGATCAGGCCGCATCGCAGCAGACTCGGACTCGATGAAGTTTTACTAAATCTAGACCTAATGACTAGGGAGAGTCCCTAAATCAAAGCAAGGAAACGTTCAAAATTTAGTTGCTCTGTTTGTGCACTGAAGACAATACAATGCACAGAAAGTTACGTATACAGAACACTACAAGTAAGCAGTAAATTAGAAATGCATTCTTCTTGGCAAGTCCAACTGGTAAGAAAGACAGCATGCAAATACATCTCAGTACAGAGAGCAACCAGGAGGATTAGGGTCAGAGGAAGGAAAAAAACTCCAGGGTGGGGGACCCAAGGGTGTTATCACTCCAGAGAGCAGGACACATACAGACGCTGCTGACCGGCCGGGTCCCCGCTGTGCGACGATGGCTCCAGACACGGCTTTAATCCAACTGTGCATCTCCTCAGGGCTGTCAGCCTAAAGAAAGGAGAGGGTTCAGTCTGCCAGCTCTGCCTCAGAGGCGTAGCTGCTGTAGCTACAAACCCAGCTTACAGTGCCACCCAAATCATCAATCCAAGGCCATGGCTTCCAAAAAAAAGTTTAGAGATCACTTCTGAAAACAAGGTCCTGCAAGGTAAGTGATCACACACAGAAGCTGGACACTTACCATTTCAGTACTGGACCTATCAAAAAGTATCCATGAGGAATACTTCTCAAGAGAAAACAAGGAGAGAGCGTCAAAGGAAGGGCTTCTACTTTCAGCCCCAGCTCTAAGTTCCACAGCGTCATAAAGAGCCAGGCTGCCATCACTTTCAACCGTACTGTCTAGAAACAATTTCTGGGAGCACCTTGAATCTTTAAGGAAGGATCGGTAGTCATATTTCAAAATATTACATTTCTCTGTCAAGACCTGCCTTCCAATGTGAAGTTACAACTTTACTTTAACACAAATCCAGTTAAACGAGGCCCTGGAAGGGATGCAGATGCAGACATACACTGCTTGCTTCTATATTCTAGAATAAAGATGGCCAGAAATTGTACAGATATACAAGATCACATTTTTTAACCCATGAGATTAACACAGACTTTTTAAGAGGAAAGACTCAATTTAGGCAAAAGGGAAGTGTATACCGTCATTGTTATTAAACAGGAACATAGTTCTAGAAAGCAATGGAGGAAAATAAAGAAGTAAAAAAGGTTTCTCTCTAGCTAGAAATGTACCCTAAAGAAATAAAAAATTCAGATAACTTTTGCCTACACAGATGCTTACCACCACAGTGTATCTTAGTGAACATCTGAAACAAGGTGAGTGGCTGCTCAGAGACAGTGATGAAGACACAGTTGAATTGTGGACTGTGCATACAACCAACTGTGCTGGAGTGCTAGCAGGTTTTTGGGGAATTCTTGACGACATCTAAGATACCACAGTACACTCAGTACAAGCCCACTTGTTAGAGGATCGGCCGTAACAAAAGAAGCACAAGAAGAGTGGTGCTTGAATGTGTGTTATGGAGGCTTCATAAGTTATCTTTCTCTCTATTTTTCCTATGTTCTGTGTACGCATACATGGTGGTGGTGGTGGCAGGTCTGTGCCGTGGAGTTGGCTCTGACTCATAGCGACCCAATGTAGGATTTCTAAGGTTGTGAATCTGTATGGGAACAGAAAGCCTCATCTTTCTCCCGCAGAACTGCTGGTATTTTAGAACTGCTGACCTTGAGGTTAATAGCCTGAGTCGCAACCATTGTGCTACTACAGCTCCTTGTAAGCATATACAGCATTTAAAATTTTAAAATAAATGCTTTGAAAAAAATCTTTCCATCTAATGAATCCAATGTGCTCATCAAAAAGCATATTTTAAACTTAAGATACAGGAAACTTAAGATCTACTGTCTCTTCTAAATTCTGTTTAAGTCATTGTTTGTTATAATAAAGCTACCAAAATAAACAACTGTTAAAAACAGAAAATAAAAATCTAAAATTTGTGCAAAAATAATCCAACTTAACGGTACATACTTAGCATCTAAGTTGAGAATGCATTTCCCTTCTTCCAAACATTAGTTAGCTCTATGTCATTAACTCTGAGCAAAGAACATGCTCATCCCCTAACCCTACACAACCTTTCAGCAAGTTGGAGAAAGACAGTTAACACATTCCTTAAAGTTCATAAACAACAGGCTTGCTTATGGTTCTATTTTACCTCTACAATTAATCATTTCTTGTTAGGAGGATCTATCATCTCCAAATAAGTATCTTACCTGCACGTAGAAAGTTCGAGACGTCGTGACAATTTCAAAGAGGTTGTCCCTCATCATAATGTCACTGCAAAAAATTACACAGTTGTACTTAAACAGCAGTTGGTTGACGTTTTACTTATTTACCAAGTATGCATCCAAATATTAAAGGTGATTAACAAAACCAAATTTATCTATTCTTCAATTTACTTTGAACTTTTGGATTAGAGTTAAATCTGTATTTACATTCATGGAAGCAAGATTCAAGAATTCAAACAATGTATACATTTTGGGCAAATCTGCTACAAAAGACCTCTTAAAAGTATCAAAAGCAAAGATGTCACCTTGGGGCCTAAGCTGTGCCTAACCCAGCCATGGTATTTTCAATTGCCTCACATGAGTGCAAAGCTGGGAAATGAGTAAGGAAGCCTGAGGAAGATTGGATACATTTAAATGACGGTATTGGTGAGGAACACTGACTATATACCATGGAATGTCAGAACATACAAACCTGTTTGGAGGAAGTCTGACCAGAATACTCCTTAGAAATGAGAACAGTGAAACTCTGCCTCATATATTGTAGCTGCGCTACTAGGAGGGCCCAGGAAGGGATCACACGTGCTAAAGTACAGGGTCGGTGAAAAAGACGCTTCTCAACAAGATGAGCTGTTACAGGGGGGATGTAACATAGCTACGATTCTGCGTATGGAGCAGGACTGGACCGCTTTGTGTCAGAACCAGCTCAACAGCACGTAGCATCAGACGTGATATTTATCAGTGCTTGTTAAGTGCCACCGTATCTGACAGTACAATTATAAGCTGCTATATGAGGCGTTTCCCTTTGGATCAGTAAGTTAAAGGGTCTATTTCCTAATTTTCTAGCTTTCAAATAAAATCAATTATTTTATCTAAGGGTTTTGAAAATTCAAACATATGCAATTATAAAGAGACAAAAATGACAGAACCAACACTGAACATAGAATCTGTAAGCACGGTTCAAAGTTGTGGCAGAGAGCAAGTCAGAGTTGTCCCTTACCTTTGCTTACATTCCTGGACTTTATGAACCTCTTTAAGCGGTATTACACGGAGAGGTTCCTTCTCCTGCCAAAAGAACAAATTAACGGATATGTGACAGTTTGGGGTTGACTGACCCCTTAAGGACTAGCTATCCTTTTTAAAAATTAGTCTTACAAAGAACTTTATGGAAAACTTTATGCTTCCTTTTTGAAGGACATCCAAAATAGAAATCTACCTTTTCAAACCATTCTGCATCAGAAAAGTTCAAACACTATAAACCATAGATACACTTTGATCTGAAATAAAAACGGGTCCATATTCCAAATCCATGTTACTTTTGATCTTCATGATACGGTTGTTGTTAGGGGCTGGTAGGTCGATTTATGACTCACAGCAACCTCATGTGACAGAGCATAACTGCTCCACAGGGTTTTCTAGCATCTCTGCTGCTGCAGTGGCTGCTAACCACAAGATTGGCAGTTCAAACCTACCATTTGCTCTGTGGAAGAATGACAAGGCTGTTGCCTGCTCCCATAAAGATTTCGTCTAGAGCCCTCTACATGAGGAACTTACTTGATGGTAATGAGTGTTGTTTTCTTCAATGTTTCCCAGAGCAGCCTGTCAAATCTTCCTCCTGCAGAGGAGCTGATGAGTTTGAACCACTGACCTTATGGTTAACAGTAGAGCGTTTAACCATTGTGGCACCAGCGCTCCTTTCATGACACTACAGCTTACTAGAAAGAGCCCCTGTGTAGTGCTGTAGGCTAGGCACAGACTGACCTATGGTCAGCAGTTCAAACCCACCAGCTGCTCTAAAGGAGAAGAGGGAGGATTTCTGCCTCGGAACTCCCCCTCCTGCAGGGTCGCTAGGCGTGGGATTGATGTGATGGCAGTGGGTTTGGTTTCTTAGTTTTTATAGTTTATTACAAGTCAGTAACCATTAGCTTTTTCTCCAGTAGCTTCTGCCAGCTCAGCGAGTGCTGTACTTCCTTTTTGAGAACAGTACCCTAACATACAAGGGACCAGACGTGTGAACGTCTAGTCTTCTTACTTAAATCTGTCATTTTCAGAACATCACTTTTATGTGAATTCAGTATATTAAAAAAAATCGTTTACTGAACATTGGGAAACAGAGATGAAGAATCAGTAGTTGGAAAATATGGCCCTGGTGTCAGAAACCATGCTGGAAGATGGCATAACAGAATTCTAAAATGACTTATTCATTGCAAATATCTTTTTTTTCAACAACATAGAAGGTGACTATACATATGGAATGGTGTCCTGGTGTGGTGCTGAGGGATAAGCACTGGAATGCAAGGTGGCAGTTCAAATCTTACCAACTGCTCCTTGGAAACCCTACACAGGGTTGCTATGAGTTGGAACCAACTCTATACATGTGGACGTCATCAGGTGGAATATACATGAATCAAACTGACTGCACCTGTGGGAAGCGATGATGGCGAAACTCAGTACCATCAGCCAAAACAACAAGTCCATGAGAGCCACAATAGGACCTTCAATTATATTCCACCGAAAGTTAGAGACCATCTCAAGAACAGGTGTGGTACATTAGACACTAATGACTGATGATCAGGAGAGTTGTGGGAGGACATCAAAAACATCATATAAGAAAGCAAAAGGTCATTAGAAAGACAGGAAATAAAGAAAAGATCAAAATGGTATTAGAATAGACTCTGATGAAACTTGCTCATAAATGTAGAGAAGCTAAAGTGATTCGAAGAAATCAGGATGTAAAAAGACTTGAACAGGAAATTTCAAGGGCAGCTCAAGAAGACAAAGTCAAGTATTATAATGAAATGTGCAGAGACCCAAAGTCAGAAAGCCAAATGGGAAGAACACACTCAGCTAAAGAACTTTAAAGAACTGAAGAAAACATTGAAGCCTTAGGTTGCAATATTAAAGAATTCTATGAGTCCTGGTGTGGCGCTGTGGGTTAATGCACCAGACTGTGAAGTCGTTTGAACTTCAAGGTCGGTGGCTCAAGCTCATCATCTGCTCCTCGGAAACCCCATACAGGGTCACTATGAGTTGGAAGCGACTCAACGGCACTTAACAACAGCAAGATGGGCTAAATAATAAATGAAGCAGGAAGCATCAAAAAAAGATGGAAAGATTACACAGAGTCACTGCACCAAAAAGAATCGGTTGATGTTCAACCATTTCAAGAGGTAGAATTTGATCAAGAGCTGATGGTCTACAAGAGAAAATCCAAGCTGCACTGAAGACATTCATAAAGAGCAAGGCTTCAAGAATCGATGGTTTACAAAGAGAGATCTTTCAACAAACTGAGGCAGTGCTGAAGGGCGTTTGTCTGCTGGCACAAATTTGGAAGACAGCCAGCCACCTAACCAACCAATGAAAAGAAATCCATTATTTGTGGTTATTCTAAAGAAAGGCAACCCAACAGAATGCGGAAATCACTGAATAATATCGCTGATATCACATGCAAGCAAATTTTGCTGAAAATCACTTAACAGTACATGGACAAGGAATTTCCAGAAATTTAAGCCAGATTCAGAAGAGGACATGAAACTAGGGATATCACTGCTAACATCAGATGAATTTCGGCTGAAAGCAGAGAATACCAGAAAGGTATTTACTTGTGCTTTTTTGACTATGCAAAGACATTAGACTGTGTAGATCATAACAAACTATGACAAACACTGTGAAGAATGGAAATTCCAGAACATTTAACTGTGCTCATGAGGAATCTGTACATAGACCAAGAGGCAGTCAATGAACAGAACAAAGGGATACTGAAAGGTTTAATATCAGGAAAGGTATGCACCAGGTTTATATTCTTTTATATACTTAATTCAAGAAATAATCCAAGAAGCTGGATTATATGAAGAAGCACTAGATTAGAGGAAGAATCATTAACAACCTGTAATATGCGGATGACACAATCTTGCTTGTAGGAAGCGAAGAACACTTGAAATACTTATTGATAAAAATCAAAGACTACAGCCATCAGTATGGATTGCAACTTAACATAAAGAAAACAGAAATCCTGAATTAGTAAATAATATCATAACATAGTGGTTACGAATCAGGCTGCAAATCGCAAGGTCAGTAGTTCGAAACTACCAGCTGTTCCACGGAAGATGAGGCTTTCTGCTCCTGTAAAGATTTACAGCCTCGGAAACCCTGTACAGGGTCGCTATGAGTCGGAACTGACTCCACAGCACATAACAACAACAACATCATGATAAAGGCAGAAAAGAATGAAATTGTCTTAAGTCTTCATTTTGCTTGGCTCCAAAATCAATGGTCATGAAAGCAGCAGTCAAGAAATCAAGTTTGTGCAGCATTGGGCAAAATAGTTTTTTTTTTTTTTACTTTTTTATTGTGACTAAACAAAAATTTACAGACAAGATCTTCAGTTTTACAGTCATTGACTCCTACACTGTTTCACCTCAATGATTGCAATTCCCTCCTTGCACCACCAGTCAGACTGAGTCCTCCCTGTGGTTCCTGTGTCCATTCAATCCACCTTCCCATTCCTTCTCAACTTTGTCCTGAGGTCAATCTTGCCCTTTTGATTTTGAATGATTGGCAGTTTCACAGTATTGCTGTCCTCACTTCTCCCCTATACACCCTATACAGCTGCATGGCTGAAAACTGGGCTGTGAGGGTGAGCTCCTTTCCAAATGGGAAAGGTGATTGAGGGAGGGCCAGAGTCTCAGAATCCCCCAGTAAGCCTGATCTTTTTTTTTCAAAATTTGTTCCACGTTTTCTCCCACTCTATCCAGGACCTTCTACTGTGATCCCTTTCAGAGCAGCTGGTAGTGGTAGCCGGGCACCATCTAGCTCTTCTGGTCTCAGTCATGGAGACTGAGGGTCACATGGTCCATTAATCCACTGGACTAACTGATTCCAAGCCTCTTCAATTCTCCTCACTCTCATTTCTTCGGCACATGGAGAGACAAACAGCTGCCCTTAGATGATTGCTGCTCATGAGCTATTTTAAGACCCCAGATACTATTGAGCAAAGTAGGATGGAGAACATTGTCATTGTGGACTATGTTATGCCAATTGACCATGTGTCCTAAGAGTATGTCCAGCAACTTATTGTCTTAAGATGTTTGATAGTATCTTAAGAAGCTTTCATCACTCTGCATAGATACTCCATCACATTCGTACCTGTGTTTGTAGGAAAGGTAAAATACCCAAGTGCAAATATCCTCTTTCACATGATTTATTTATTTGTGGGTATACTCCCACTCTTCCTACCATACACATTCAGTCTGTGTCTCTGTGTATTTACCCTCAGAACACTGTTGTTCCAAGGTTGTGTATATAACACTGTTTACCTGTCCCCTTTTAGCTCCTGCATACCTCCTAGCTTCATAATTCTTCTGCCAACCTCCCTTTTTTTTTTTTTTTTTGCATATTGCCCTCCCTGTCACTCAACATGTGTCTACCCTTTACTTTAGCCCAGGGGTGGGGAACCTTTTTTTTTTTTTTTGCCAAAATTTATATCATTTGCGGGTCATATGAAACGATTAATTTAAAAATTAGCCTGCTAACACCCTCGGAAACCCTGTACAGGGTCGCTATGGGTCGGAACCGACTCGAAGGCACTTAACAACAACAACAATATTTGGTCAAACACTTAATTAGATGCCCATAATGTGACAGATGGAACTGTGGCTATCTTGGCAGAGCTAGACCAAATGATTTCGAGGGCCTTATAAATGGCTTGAGGGCATGATGTTCCCCACCCCTACTCTAGCTAGTGAATTACTCTCCCTTCCCTTCCACTCCTGGTAACCGTCAAAGAACACTTTAAGTATGAAGAGACTTCTTCAGAGTGTTAAACAGCAAAGATACGATTTTGAGGACTAAGGAGCACCAGACCCAAGCCCTAGTATTTTCAATGGCTTCATGTGCATGTGAAAGTTGGACAATAAATAAGGAAAAACCAATGCACTTGAGTTATGGTGTTAGTGAAGAATATTTACATTATCATAGACTATCAAAACAAAACAAAACAAAAAAACATATCTATGTTGGAAATACAACCAGAATGCTCATTGGAAGCCAGGATGGCGAGACCTCTCTCTGACTTTGAACATGTTTCAGGAAGGACCAGTCTCTGGAGAAGGACATCAAGGTTCCATGAAAAAGACCCCAAGAGAGATGGACTGACCTAGTGGCAGCAATGGACTCAAACCAAACAATTGTGCTGCTATGAGGAAGAACTTGACGGCACATGACAATAACATATTCTAGGAAATACTACATTCCGTATTCCAATGACTATATATGTGACAACAGGAGATTAAGACACAGCATCATTTTATGGAAAAAAGTAAACCATGTCAGTGCTTTCATATTAATTATGTATCTTTTTTTTTAAGTTTCTAAAAATTTTATTGTGAAGTAGTTTCACACTATATGAGAGTTGTCAGGAGCTCTGGTAGTATAGTGGTTATAAGTTGGGCTGCTAACCTTAAGGTTAGCAGTTGAAACTACCATTTACTCCACAGGAGAAAGGTGAGGCTTTCTGCTGCTGTAAAGATTTACAGCCTCAGGAAAACCTGTACGGTGTCGCTATGAGTCAGAACCGACTCCACGGCACACTCCTACCACCACCATATAAGAGTGGTACAAATAGTACAGAGAATTCCTATATACCTTGCAGCCTGTTTTCCAAAATGTCCTGTTCACGAGCTGGGCTCTTCCTCTAAGGAAAAGCTTTTCTTCTCCCTTCAGATGCTCATGGCTCCTACTCTGTTCTATGGGTTATGATCTATTACTATCATTACTTATTTTTTTGTTCAAATTGTCCCAGTTTTTGCTACTGGGAGCCCCTTCAAGCTGGCTTCTGTGTCCTTCTGACATGTCCCCATTTTTATCTGAGCTGCTTCTTACTTTCTGGCATCACTAGATGTTCTATGCACAGCTTGTCCCTTCTCTGCCCAGATCTGAAAGCAGCCACTCCTCGAGGGGCCCTGGCTCCCTGAGAGCTAGAGAATGGCACTTAGGCTGCTTTGGGGACTATAAACAGAGGCCGATTGCCCATCTCTTCACTCAACCACAGCTGGAAGTTCTGTCTCTTCTGTTTTCCTTTTTAGCTCAGAGGACTCCACCGTTAGACGGATGTCTCCAAGTTCACCCAGCCATTCTTCTATACATGGACATCTTCGTCTATTCTAATTTTGCAATCATAAATAATGCTGCAACGGAGGAGTTGATGCACAGGCAGTTTCTTATTGTTGGAAATGTATCTCTGGGTAAATTCTAGATGTGGGAGTGCTGAGTTGAAAATAAATGCGTCTGTAGCTTTGTTAGGTAATGCCAGATTCCCCTCTAAAAAGGTTCTCCCGATTTGTATTCCCAGCAGGAGCAGTATGTGAGAGTACAGTTTGACCAACAGTATGTGCTTCATCCTTTTTAGTCTCTGCCAACATGGCAGGTGACAAGTGTACTTTTAATGTGAGTTCTCTAATTATGAATAATGTTGAACTTGTTTTTATATACTGAAGGGTCCTATTAAATCTGGTAGTGTAGTGGTTATGAACTGGGCTGCAAATTGCAAGGTCAGCAGTTCCAAACTACAGCTGTTCCGTGGGAGAAAGATGAGGTTTTCTGCTCCCGTAAAGATTTACAGCCTCGGAAACCCCATGCAGGGTCACTACGAGTCGGAACCGACTCCACAGCACATAACCACCACCACCATTAATCTGTGTCAAAATAAACTGGCTATTCTTAGCTTTTGCAAATGCATCTACCAGATACATTTCCCCTCGATATTCTCTTTCCTTCAACTTGGAAGCAAGCATAAACTTATCCAATGGTTGAAAATGCCGTTCAAAGAACTGATTTTCTCAAACCTTTTCAGAGTGAGTTGCTGGTCTAGGCCCCATTATTCCTGTGCATTTGCATCAAACAGGCTTTTTCTCTTAAAGTCACAACACAACCATCACAACCCACAAAGCAGTCCCCAGATGTCTTCTTTTCAGAATCACAAATAACATTTACGGATCATCCCTCTTCCTTTCAGTCGGGAAGGAGTCTTTCCTCATTCTTTATCTGACTTTCATACTCTTGACGCTTTGGGAGATGACAGGCCTGTTATGTTGTCGAATGACTGAGTGTGGGGGAGTCAGATGTCTCCTCAGCTTAGACGCTGGTTCAGCACCTCTGACAGGAACGCTACGGGAGTGATGCCACATTCTTGTCATTCTATCCCGTCAGATGGGACATGATTCCAACTTTCACCAATGATGCTCATTTTAATCACCTGACCACTTGATTAAGGTTCATCTCCCAGACTTCTTCACTGTGATGTTCTTCTTGTCCCTCATTTGTAATTTGCATATCTTTCATGGGGAGATATTTGAAACTAAAGAAATACTTCATTCCTACTCAGACATGGCTTCCTATTTCATTTATCCATTTTGATGTTCCAATTGTCCCACATTTGGTCAGGAAGGAGACAATTGTAATTTGGCCTTTTTTATGCCATCCAGGGCCTCCTATTCTGCCCCCTTACTGTGCAGTTCAATGTTTCCAAAATAACAGGGATTTATAAAAGAGCTCTTTTATACTTTAGGTATAAATTTTTAATCATGTATCTTTTAAGCATATATAAAAAGAAAACTACAGCAAAATAAATTGATCAAGGGCTTTTAAAATTTCACATTCAGATTCCAACTCATCCAAATCACTTTGTGACTCAGAGACATGGATGCCAATGTTCTCCGTTCCACTCCACCTCATCCTCAGTGGCAAACAGGTCACAGAGACACAGGGCTTCTTAAGAAAGTTCCACTGTGTCCCCGAGACTCCTCTAGCTGCCAGGCTCCTGTTCTGCAGGTGCTGACTTGATACGGCTATTCAGATCTCACCCAAAGGTGCTATGCATGTACAGGCAATGACAACGAAGCCTGGCTGTGTGCCACAACCCAAGAGTCAGAAACGCCGAGAGGTATGTGGGCTGCTGCACCTCAGTATTTGATAAAGGTTAAGAATTACGTTATCTGTATCTTTTAGATCCTCAGTGAACCTCTCTTGCTCAATTCCCTGACAGCATTATGTCTCTGCCTCCTGTGAGAGTTAACTTCTTCCTTCCTGTTACATTTCACAGCACGATGTCTAGCATGCAGTGGGTTTTCAAGATTTAATATTTCTGTGCTAACTGCTACCAAGTGACATTAGAAGAGGGGAAGAACATACGTCGGTGTGTCGGCATAGCTGGACTCCTGAGGGCCAGCCCCTGTCTGGCTGCTCTTTACTTAGAGGTCCTAGCACAGGGACCCAGGGCTCTAGAGAGCTCAGTAAATGACCAGGATGAACAACTCTTCCTGAGAGTACTGGCTTTTATTAAACTCAGTGGATCCGCCTGCGGACCTAGCACAAGTGTAGCCTTCAGAGATGCCCAAGCTGTTCCTTTCTGAACAAGTAACTACAGTTTTAGAACTGAAAGTATGAGAGGACCCCCCAAACAAAAATGTCTATTCTTGCTATGCTATGTAGTTTTCCATTCATTCAAAAACTCCAATTATTAAGCAAACGCAGACTCTCTGTTTACAAAGGGGTATATAAGGGAGTCTTTGCCTTAGAAGCTCGTTTTGTTTAGCTGCAAAGACAAGTCCTCATACAATTAAAAACCCCATGGGAAGGAAGTACTGTGCTAGAAACATGCACAGGGTACCATGAGCACAGACCCACCAGGTGCTTCTCCAGAGTCCATGAACTTCCCTGAAGAGCAGGCACTTGAGAAATGACGCCTAGACAGACTTCGTTCTGTCCCCAGGGCCCCGCCAGTCAGCCAGCCCTGCAGCCATTTGTTAAGTATAATTATTTACATTTCAGTCAATTAAATCAACAGAATGACTGTTGGTTTAAAGTGACAGAAAATCCCTTCCTTGGTCACATTCAGCAGCCACATTTAGCCCCTAACTACCGGGCTGCCGTACTCAACTAGGCCAACAGAGACTAGTTCCATGAGGGGGGCCAGTTCTCTGAGGCACTACTGTTCTGGAGCCTTCCTTCAAATACAGCACACTGTTTCCCTCTCAAAGGTCCCATAGAATAAGAAGACATCGTACAGACACCTAAAGTAAACTGAATGCAAGTCACTCCACAACCTGTTGCTTGGAAACAATATTTTAAATAAGGATATAATTCAAACAAGTGAAAGAGGAATTTTCTCTTTGATTCCACCTTTAGATATGATCCAAACATTTCATGTGAAAAAGAGGCAGAAAGAATCTGAAATAAGAAAAGGAAATGTGAAGAGAAGGCTAACTGTGAACACAGGGGTAAGTGTGAGCACGGGAGGGACAGTTCATTCTTTGCACCAGACTAGCTCCTCCATTGTTCCTCTAGAGACATTTGCAGACTGGGAGGCTCTGGTATTCTGCAATCTTTCAAGGTGGAATGTCTTTTTCAAGATAGGAGCTTATTTTTTATTACAGATATAGCTAGTAAAAATACCATCAATCAAAAGTATCACAACAAAACAAACAGAACTGTCTCTACCTCTCAAACTCAGAATTGCACAATTCTAGAAATAAAGACCCAAACAAGGGATTATCTATACCGTCACAGTACAAACCTTCTCAAACATTTTTAAGGCAGCCTTCATGGCACAAGAACATACCAGTTCCGATTTGAAGTAGCCTATTGTGTTTTCATCCAATTGAAAGTATCTTCTCTTCCAGTTTCTCATCTACCGGAGATGAACACAGATGTCAGAGTGGGGCTAAGAAGGGCCAATGCTAATCACCACTAATTACTCTGACGTGAACATGTCATGAGAATTGCCAAGCATGAATTAGAGTGGCTGGAGTCTGAAGAGCTGAGAGATTGAAGTCTCGCTTAACTTGGGAGAGGTTTTTGTTTTACTTTTGTTTTCATTTATTTTCCCATGAAACTCTAAAGATTTGGTTCATACCACAAAGAATGGCTTTAATTTTAGAACAGGACTTTGGATTTCTAGAAGCACTGATGGGCTTACTGGCTTTTCCTGAAATGTCCCCATTATGATTCCAGCTGTGTTTGGTATCTGGACTAACAGGTAACAGTTTGGATTAAACGTACCCACTGCTACAACCTGGGACTTTCACTTATATCTTTTGACAAACTCAGGATGGGGTTGGGGATGGGAGGTAGCTTAGAATACGATTTAAAAAAAAGACTGAGAGCCTAAGAGGTTAACTATACTAGGTCACAGGGCATCAATTCAAGTTATTAGGTTTAGGTCCTTGTTATCCTGAGTGGTCCTTCTACAAGTTCCTCCCCGACCAATTGGATTGCCACTTCCCGCTTGAGCTCTTGGTTTCTGGTCCACTCCCATTTGAGGATGAGCTAAAGAACAACTCTTTGGAATACACTTTAAACTGTTAGGAAAGTTCATTTCGACTGCAGGTCTTCATAACGATCCAGCAGTCACCCACAACCCAAGGAAGTACTCACACGAAACTGTGACTATGAATAAGCCTACTGTCTCTTCCGAGCCCCCTTCTTTCACTAAACGAAGCTCACTATTCCTGTGCTATCTGAGTTTGCTAATGCACAGTCACTTTCTGTAGTTCACAGGTTTGATGAAGTTACTCACCACAGCTCCTTGCTTAACACAATACCCAGCTTTGATAACTGCGCTGTCTGGAGGTGGCTTAGGAGTGGCATGAGGAAGATGGCTTTGTGACCGTTTCAGATTTCTGTCCACACTTTCACCACATTCATTGACTTCTTCTTTCTAAAATGAAGCAAATTTTTTTTTGCATATTTAGCTTAATAATATCATACTTTCAGTTCATGTGTTGTTATAGTAAAAATTCATCATTATTTATTTGAGTTCAGCTAAGAACACTAATTTTCATGCAAAATGCTTTCTGATTTATCTGAGATACTTAATCATAACTTTCACATCAAATTTCCATTTCTCTTGTTCTGTAAAAGTTCTGCCACCAGAGCCTTTATTTTATTTTATTTGGAGGGGGAATGGGTTGTTTTGAAATAATGATACAGCTTTACAGGAAGTAGGAAAAACTAAGTACTGAGGGGTTGCATCTCCCTGACAGCCAGTTTCTGACAGGTGGTCTAGTACAATAGGTACAATGGATTATCAACACCAGATCAGACAGTCCATAAACCACAAAGCTGAATAGCTTGCCCTAGTTTTACACACACTCATTTGTCTGTGTGTGTATACTGCTGCTGTTGTTGCTGTGTGTTGTTGTCAGTTATGACTCATAGCAACCAAGTATAGTGTTTCCAAGAACGGAGGGTGGGTTTGAATTACCGACCTTGCAGTTAGCAGTCCAGTGCTTATCCAATAGCACATGTTGTTGTTAAGTGCCATTGAGTTGGTTTTGACTCACAGCGACCCTGTACAGGGTTTCCAAGGAATGGCTGGTGGGTTTGAACCATTGACCTTGTGGTTAGCAATTCAGTGCTTGCCACGCCTCCAGCACACAGTTCAATATAATTTTATCATTTGTGTAAAGCTGTTTCACCATCATAAAGCTCCTTCATGCTACCTCTTTGTACACCATCCCTAATCCCTGGCAACTCCTCATTGGTTCTCTGTCTCTATAATTTTGACATTTCTAAGACTATAATATAACTGCAATCCTGTCCATTTATATTAGAATTATAAATGGATTCACACAGTGGGTAACCTTTGAAGATTGGCTCCCCACTCCTCCCCACTCAGCATTAATTCCCAACCAGAGTTATTCAGGTTCTTGCTTAGATCAATACTCCATTCCTTTTTTGCTGCTGCGTAGGATTCCAAAGTATGGAATGTTTAGCCATTTACCCACTGAAGAGCATTTAAGTTATTTCAGTTTTTATCTATCAGGAGTAAAGCTGCTGTGAACATTCATGTACAGATTTTTGTGAGACAGTTAAGTCCTCATTTCTCAGAAACACTCTGAAGGAGCCCTGGTGGCACAGTGATTAAGCACTCGTGTGCTACCAAGGGGTCGGCTGTTTGAACCAACGCACCAGTCACTCTGTGAAGCAAAGATGTGGCCATCTGCTTCTACAGAGATTACAGTCGGGGGGGGGGGGGGGCAGTTCTTCCCTGCCCTGTAGAGTCACTATGAATTAGATTTGACTGGACAACAACAGGGTTTCAATACAAATTCTGGGTTGTACAGTAACTGCATGTTTAGTTTTATAAGAAACTGCCAAACTGTTTTTCAGAGTGGTTGTACATTATACTAGCAATGTGTGAATGATCCAGTTTTTCCCTCTTCCTTGTCACAATTTGTTATCATTCATTTTCATCTGAGCCATTCTGATAGATATTTGCATTTCTCTACCTGACAGGTCAGCAGTCTGCAGCATACCAGCCACTCTAGGAGAAAAGACTGGATGATCTGATTCTGCAAGGACAGCAGTCGTGGAAATCCCATGGGGCAGTTCTACTCTGTCCCATAGGGTTATTAAGAGTCAGAACTGACTCGATGGCACACAACTACAACAGTGATTAATGATGGTGAATCTCTCCTCTTAAACTCATATGTCATCAGTACATTCTTTTCAGTGAAATGTCTGTTCACTTCCTTTGCCCATTTCCTAATCAGATTCTTTGGAGTTTTTTTTTACTATTGAATTTTGAGAACGGGTTAAATGTTGGATGGCTAACTGCAAGGTCAAGAGTTCAAACCCACCATACCCTCCACAGGAGAAAGCTGAGGCAGTCTGCTCCCATAAAGTCTGACAGTCTCAGAAACCCTAGGGGGCAGCTCTACTCTCTCCTACAGGGTTGCTAGGAGTCAGGATCGACTTGCAGACATTGGGCTTAATTTTGGTGCGTTCGATATAGTCTAGATACAAGCTCTTTGTTGGTTTTCCAATATTTTATCTCAGTCTTTAGCTTTCTTTGCACCTTGTTAACAAGAGTTTCTCTCACTGGGCAAACATTTGCATTTTATGAGGTCAATTTATCATGTTCTTCCTTTTACGGCCAATGCTTTTGTGCCAAGTCTAGTAACTCTTCACTTTGTCCTAAGTTCTTTTTTCTAAAAGTTCTAGAGTTTTATGCTTTCCAAGCATATATTTTTAAACCCATGTAACTATACCCAGGTCAGGATCCCAAAGCACTGGCTTTCTGTTTAAAACATACAACACACTTGATACTCTAGAATCCCACAAATAAGTCAAAGGTAGCTTTTCAAGAACTTCTAAAATTTCAAAAGAACAACTAAGTGCTCAAGTCACATTCTGAAGAATTTCCAACCCGCTCCACATTTGTGCAGGTCCACCCCATCGTGTACTTCACTGTTCACATGATACTCTACTCACAGTGAGACTCAAATCATTTACCATGCAGATAAGACTTCCTTGACATTCACTTTGTATTATCTAAATGCTTTTACAAGGAAAAAATACAACTTTATTACAAAATGATATGTAAAACAATTCTTTGGGATTTTTTTTTTTTTTAATGTTATCTATCATTGATCCTAGAATCTGCTGAAAAATCTGCACCAAAGTTAAAATGTAACAAAATCTTAACTCTATAAAATTAAAATAGCCACATGTATACTTATAATATTGTAATACAACCAAGACAGATTGCTTGGCTTAGTCTAGCTACAATAAATAGTATCCAGAACTTTAAGATGTTACGCATTCTTCTGAAAGACAATACCCACATACACACATAACCCTAGCTGATTTTATCCAACTTTGGTGAAAACCATAAACTGTAGTAGAGCTGGGATTTCTGCTCATTCAGTAAGTATTTACTGAATGAATGAAAGAATGGTGTGCGTCTTCTTTCCACTAGTCACCTCTGACAAAGTGCTGGGAAACACGGAGTGCCCCTGCAAACAGCCATAAAGGCCATGTCTTTGAAGTACAAAAGGCACACAGGACAGAGAACAGTCATCAACAGCAATACCAATGAACTATTTAAAAATTCATGGCTTCTCCACTGTTAACAATAATTTACTTTGTACTCTAAATGCATTCCCTCCATAGTGATACAAAAGATGGTTAAGCTAATTCCAGACTGCTTGATTTTTTCAATCCAGAATTGTTTCTGACTTGATACTGCTCATCAGACTTAATTCAGTCCATAAGCACTTAGACAGAATTAAGTCAGAATTCTAGTTCCGTAGCTCACTTAGGCCAGGCATGGAAAAGTAGCTTTAAAAACTCAAAAGTAGCCTTAAAGAATTTTTCCTTAAAAAAAAAAAAAAAAACTATTATCAGTGTTTTTAAAGTTTTAATTATAAGAATATCCATCGTAACACTGTTTATAGAAGGAAAAAGAAAAAAAACACCATTTGTCCAACAAAAAGGATTTGTAAATTATGATGAATTTGTGGTAGATATAGAATCATTTTTGATGACTTGGCAAAAGTTTCTAATATGTAACAAATGCTATTTACTAATTATAACTCTCTCTGTTTTTAGGAAATTCACCAAAAAAAAAAAAAAAAAAAAAGACTCCAAGAAAACATGAGACTATTTTGAAATAAGAAATAAAAGTGAGGGTTTAGGCGCTGACTTAGTGCTGCATTAATTCAGTACTACAGAAGAGCAAGGACAGCAATGATGCTGCAGAGGACAGAAGGCTGACTTAGGACCTGAGTCGGCGTAATGATGGGGACACCACCCACGATGTCAGTTCTGTACGACACTTGCTTCTTGGCACTCGCACAGTCACCCTGGCGACTTAGAACATCAGATGGAGGCTGCAAGTCAGACTGCTTTGGTACCTGGAATAGTAAGCAAAACGGGTCATTTTGCAAGGCTCTGTGTTAGTCTCTTTATCACAGAATTCCTAATCATCACTTAGAAATAGTGATCAAATCTATGACTTTACTGAAAAGGCATGTGAAGGCACCCTTAAGTTCTCATGCTACCTCTTCTACTGGTCAGTAACTTTATACAACAGCCACTGTTTTACTGAGTGTCAATTCAGGCAGGTACTACTTCACACATGATCTCACTTAATTCTCTTAGCAATGCTATACCATAGAGGCAAGCTCCCCATTTTAGAGGTAAGGAAACAGAGGTTCAGCTCTTAACTCTACCACTTTCCAGCGAAGTCTGAGTTCCTCTCTTTCAAACTCACACTCGGTTTCTAGTTTATGAGAGCAATGTAACATTGTATTAGAACTCAACAGTGTGTTACTTGCTGTCTTCTCCTTTATTCCACTCTTACTCTTCAGCTGAGCACAGGAATCAGGAGAGAGTTCACTACCAAGCACACAGGATGCATTCCATAAATGTTCAAAGACTGACTCATGGGTGAGCATTTGGAACAACGAGTAGCAAAATACTTGATGTCAAATGAAAGTCAAAATGTTCAAAATACCTTACAACCTATTCTGTATTTTAAAAAGGAGTTGTTATTTTTAAATGCTACCAAGCCAGTCTTGACTTAGAGGGACCCTGTACAGGGTTTTGAGGACTGGCTGGTGGGTTTGAGCTGTCGACCTTGTGGTTAGCAGTCCAGTGCTTATCCTACAGTGTTATTAATAAATGAGGAATTATGAAATCAAAGAATTAGAGGTACCACAAATGTTTAACATATATTTTAGCTTTCCTTATGGGGTCTAATTAGGGAATACGGTACATGGCTAATCAAATTTTGCTGTTGTTCTACCGACTGTTAACCATATCATCTATTTCAATGATTCATTTTTTAAAGCTCTGAATAAAATGTAATAAAATACACTCAGCATCAATTAAGATTTAATTTCTGATCATTTGAAGGGCAGTGGGGGATCGCCTTGTGGGAACATTATGCCAGACACTATTAGAGGCACAGAAATTCAAAGACAGAAACATCGAACTGAAATGGATGTGTTGTCAGTAGCAGGGCACTGGCATGACAGGAGACACCAGTCACCACCCCTCAGAGACCCAGCCCATCTGTGTATGCAATCCCAGAGCAGAGGGCCTCACGCTCTCAGGCAGCAGCCGGCAATTTGTTTACAACCTGGCATGCTGCTACCCGCCCCAGGTCTGCAGGCTGCCAGGTACACAGCGGTGTGTGCAGGCTTTGTAAAGTATCGGGCAAGCAGACAGTGTGCAGCAAAGGATGCTGACCAGAGGAGACAACGCTCCACACATATAATCCATGGATCAAGGCTGACCTCTCGGGGGACTTCTGAAACCCCTTCTCCTCTCTGTCCACACCCTCCAGCCCATTGAGATGCATCCCCTCCCCCCAGCTTTGTTCCCAGGCTCAAACTCACCCTCCACCCCTGGAATCACAGTCACTGAACTAGTCACCGGCAGAACCCAAGAGAGAGAGCACACCGAGAGGAAGGGAGGAGAAGGCTGCACGTTTTAGACACTTTTAAAAGGCAATGCAATAATGCGCACGATGTACTCGACACCATTCCCATAAATACATAAGAATGAAAGGGTTTCTGAGGATATCACAACCCTGAAACAATTTACTGAGGAAGGCCATAGTCCTTTCTATTGAATGCTGTTGCTATGTGCTGTGGCGTTGTCTGTGACTCACAGCGACCCTGTAGGGCAGAGTAGAACTGCCCTATAGGGCTTCCCTGCTGAAATCATTACCAGACCAGAGCCCTACCTCTGTTCTCCCTGAGTTGCTGGTGGGTTCCAACCACCGACCTTCTGACTGTTGGGAAGCAGCCCTGAAAGCTTCACCGTCACACATCCATGGTTTCTTTTCTAATGACGACCATCAAGTGTTTCCATTTGGATGGGGAAAGACAGCCAAGCTATATCCCTCTATGTGCAGAAAGCAGCATTCCGTGTTGTCGGTAAGTGCAGTCAAATCAGTTCCAATTCACAGCGACACTGTGTAGGGTTTCCAAGGATGACTGTTGTTAGGTATTATCGCTGGTTCCCAACTCATAGTGAGCCTCATCACAACAGAATGAACCACTGCCCGGTTCTACGCCCTTGTCACAATTCTTCTTACGCTTGAGCCCACTGTTGTTACCTGTGTCAATCCACCTTGTTGGGGTCTTCCTATTTTTCACTCACCCTCCACTTTCCAAACATGATATCTTTCTCCAGGGACTAGTCCTCCTGTTAATATGTCCAAAGTATGAGAGATGAAGTCTCGCCATGCTGGCTTCTTTGAAGCACTCTGACTGTACTTCTTCCGAGACAGATTTGTTGTTCTTCTGGCAGATCATGGTACTTTCAATCTTCCTCTTCAACACCACAATTCAAATGTACTGATTCTTCTATGGTCTTCCTTATCCATTGTCTAACTTTCATATGAATATGAATTTAGTTTCTCTTAATTTAAGAGAATTTAACTTATGTTACCAAGGCTCCGTTTTCAAAGGAACCACATGTAATTCAACAATTTTTATGGGAAATTATGTCACATTTAGAAATTCCATACTCTAACGCACTTAAATGTTTAAAATGCATGTTAAATTAAAATGGGGGAGTAACCCACTATAAGTAGGTGAACTTGACCTATGCTTGTGGATGCAGTATGACAAAGGAGCGGACAAATCTCTATAGTGAGGATCATTTCCACCCCCATGGTACACAGGGTCAGCGGGGATGGGGAGTTTAGACACTGGCTACCCAAAATGGGGGGACTACAAAGGCAAGAAGTGACTGGCTTACAAGCTTTCAATAGGTTATCTAGCTCCAGAGGATATAGGGAAAGATAGAATCTCCACTGAATTATTTCCAACCTCTCTGGATGGGGTTGATAAAAGGTGAAGGGGAAAGGACTCCTGTGGTTCAATAGGGAATGATTGCTATCAGGTCTGACAGTGAGTGTTGGAAAGGTAAGTGTAAATGTTTGGTAACAAAAGGAGGGGAGTAGCTGATTTTGCAGTCCAGGAGCAGAGATCCCTGGAACCATCAAGGGAGAAAAGTGGAGTATAAGACCCTGTCCAGGGAAGCAGTGACACTAGGGATGGAGGCAGAGACCATGACGTGTACAGAAGGAGCGGCCGGGAGGGCAGGCATATGGGGTATACCCTTTGGTTGTTTGATGATGCATGCAGGGGATTGTGATCATTGCAATGAAACAGTATGCCATAGGATGAATGTAAAGATAATGTTCACCCATGTAATCTAACATATAATTTACAATAAAAACTTAAAAAAAATAAAAATGGGTACGATTGTTTCTGAGAAGAAAATATGTCTTACTGAAGCACAGAAATTCACTACTACTCCACGGGTTAGATTTGTATCAAGTTGAATTTTAAGGAGCTTTTACGAAAGGTTAGTGGTTCAAACACACTAGCTCCTCCATGGGAGAAAGATGGGAGAAGCTGCTTCTGTGAAGATGAGTTTTGGAAACCCAGTGAGGTAGCTCTTCTCTGCCCACAGGGTGGGTCTTGAGGAGTCCGAAGTGACCAGACTACAGCGGATCCAAATGGATTTGCTGTGCTTCTGCTGCCGTTGAATTCTCTCTGACTCAAGGTGACCTTACTAATTTGATATTTACTTTTATAAAGTTATACTCTACATTCACTTTTATGTAACTGAGAGTCTTGGTGTGGCGCTGTGGGTGAATGTAAAGCCAGTTTACATGGCAAGGTTGGCAGTTTAAGCTGGCCAGCCACTCCTTGTAAAGTCGCTATGGGTCGGAATCGACTTGATGGCACTTAACAACAACAACAATCTATATGCAGCTATAATCTAAATTCATTTTATAGACGACAAACTAAGGATGCTATATGCTATACAGGTGTTTACATTTTCCAAATTATAAAAATGTGAAAATTATTTACCAACAAGACTATCTTTAAACTTTTTTAAAAAACCTGCAAGACCATAAAAGCTATGTAAGAGTTTCCATACTTCAAAACATCGACCCTGCCGCTCATCTGGGTCTTTATTATGCCAACAAGAGGAATCTGTGCAAGGATGTTTCATCCCATTAAAAACTGGACACAGCCATTCAAGAACCCCCTAGAAAGCAGAAAGCCTAAGATCAAACTTCTTCTCTGAATGCACCAAGAAACCAGTTATTATACTTATTACTGCAAATTGGAAAGAAAAAAAAGAATGAATACAGCAAAATTACTAGAAATTGTCTTTCTAGAGAAAGTTTCCAAGCAAGAAATGTTAAAAACATTAACAATGATCACTAAAAAATTTTTTATGAATGCGTACTTCTGAATCAGTTCAAAGACTGCTTTCTTGAAACTGTACAAACCTAAAATAACTTTTGCTTCAGGCACAGATCAAAGGGGGTGTGTGGGTGTTTGCCATCACGTGGTAATAGGCTGTTTTGTGGCAAGACAAGAAATTCAATGTACCTCTGAGAACAGCTTTGGTTATATTAACTCTTTACTGTGTTGTGGTACAAATATGGAACCATCCACGGTAGATGGGGACTCTCGAGTGAGTCACAGAGACAGCCTCCAGGGCATATGCTTTCTGAGAATGAGTCATTTAGGGCCAGCGGAAGAACTGCACTGCAGTAAAACCACACCTCACGTGTGCATGATTGACTCTCTGCACGCACCTCCTTCCTAGGTGTCTCTCTGGAAGAGGATGAGGAGGGAAGTGGACCTGTGTCTGCTCGCCAACATCCCCTGTAAAGCCCCAGGAAGCTCTGGATTGGGCCATAGGACATAAGAGGAAAGCAGACCTTCTTTGGCAGGAGGCCGGAAGGTGCCTTGGTTCAGAGTTCAAGCTGCAGAGTCAGCTGACTGGGTTCAAGTCACAACTCTCAGCTCAGCAGCCATGGCTCTGTAACAGCAGCTAGTGCTTTCTAAGACCCACTTTTCCAGATAATTTAGGTAAAATTGTTAATAGAAAGTATGGAGCGGTGTAAATAGCCAGTAAATAATATTCATCAACAAAACGAAACAAAAAGCAGAGAAGACCAGGTTAGAGCACTGGAAGGGAGTGCAGATACCAAGGTCTGGAACTCTAGGAAGAAAAGAGGGGGAGAGAGACAGGAGAGAACCTGAGCCTAACCCCAAGGCCACGTGGGCAGGACCTTTGTTACCACAGCTTTGTGGATCCAGTCCCCATCCAGTTCCTCACTTCTAAGCCCTTTGTGCCTCCTCGTTCTGCTCTTACCTTCGACTCCTGACCTCTCTGATACCAACTTGAGACATGGCTTCAACGATGGAACTGCCCACTCCTACTGCCTGGACAGGTAGCAGGGGGCCGGGCCTCCCATGCTACTCTAGAAGACAGAACATCTCAGAGTAGAACTTTAAAACTGCACGTTCCCCTAGAAACTTCGCTGCCAGCAGTGGTCAGGATCTACAGAACTATATATATCACTGCTACAGTGCATAATGGGTTAAGCAGGCACTCATAGGCTGATTTAAAGACCAAGAGTCGTCAGGACAAGTAAGGTATTCACATTCTAAGCACACCTGTCTTTTAAATAAACACGGAGGATGGAACCTGTTGTTAAGGTAGAGACAGTCAGTAGGAATATTTTCAAAACGTATTAAAAAATACTTACTGTAATTTTTATAGCTTTGTTCAACACATTTACCCATTCTATGAGGTCCTGTTGATCATTGGCTTGTAGGAAGTACTTCCTCATCCCTGCATTCATAACTGTTGAAAGAGAAAAAAAACAAAACTATAGCACATGGAATTTTGTACTTGTTACCTCAAAAGGTTATGTTCATGACACCTAAAAAGACCCATCTTACTAAGCTTCAAGACGTGATTCTTCTTGAACTTGACAAAATGTTAGCTCATCATAGAACAGTGCTGTTGTCATCTGATCAACCTCTTTTTTTTTTAATGGTCATGTGGTTTTTCTTTAAATGCATATAACAATCTCCTAATGATAGAAATTTAGGCTGTGTCTAATTTTTGAACTCACATTAACTATCACAAAGAAATATCTTATACACACACTAAGTAAGGCACTTTAAAAAGATCATGGAAAAGTTCCATTATCTTTCAATTCCATGTTTCTACAAATGTTTTGAAGTCCCCTTGTATTTTTCCATACTTGGT